AGATGGGTTGGTAACATGCAAAAGCTGTGCAGCTGAGGACTAATTGCATTTTAACAAATGCAAATGGAGCACGGGGAAGAGCGATTCAAACAAACGTGTCTGCCGTGTCGCAGCCCGGCTCCCGCGCTCCTGCTGTGGCCGGGGACACGGCCCTGCATGGCCATGCCTGGCGTCGCCCCACGCGGGGAGCATCCCCCCACCTTTGCCTATGGGGCTGTGTTTTTCTGGGGACTTTTGCATGACACACATGGCCTGGGCAGGGCAGGAAGTCAGTGCCAGCCTTGCTGGGCCACCTGGGCCGTTAGCTGAGCAGAGACATCATGGATATGATGCTGGGTGTAGGTGGATGCTGAGCATCTGCTTGGGGCAATGGGAATTTGTGGCTTTTCCATGCTGAGAGGAATGAGGTACTTGCAGGTGTCTCCTCCCTCTGCCACCCTCCAATGACACCCTGGGTGGGCACAGGGAGGACCATAGGGGGTTGCTCAGCTCTGCAAGGGGATTTCTGGCCTCCTCACATGTTACTCCCCGTGCCCGGGTACAGAGCTGCTCTGGCATGGTCCTGCCACCAACAGCACCGAAGGGCCTCAAAGTCACGGAGCACTTTATTGGGGCCACACACCTCAGGTACAGAGCCGGGGGGCAGTGTGGGGCAGGGAGGGGCGGAAGATGGCCCCTCGCCCCATCTGCCTGGAGGGCATTTTTCATGGCGGTGAGGGGACAACTAAATCCCCCGGGAAATGAGGGGGACAGGGACAGGGCGAGCAGGTAGTGGGGAGCATGGAGGCAGGCGCCACACTGCAAGAGGTGGCTGTGATGAAGGTGCCAGCTCCTTGCGTGTGCCGGCCACTTCCCGAAGCCCCCTAATTGTTGTTCATGATCCACCAGGAGGCTGCAGAGAGAAGCAGGGAGAGGGTCAGGGAAGGCACGGCAACGGCACCGTCACTGTCATGGCAAGGGGGGGCAGACGGCCAAGGGGCTCTGTCCTCGCGCAGGGAGAGCTGGCAGTTCCAGCCACGCGCTCTCCGCAGGCCCTGTGTGCCAGGAACGCAGCTCCGCAGCACAGCCCGGCTCCCCGCAGCGCCACCACTGGAGACACCCGTCCCACAGGAGCCGCAAGCAGCTCTGGATGCGGATCCCAGATCCCTCCAAAGAGCCCAGGGAACACAGGCAGCAGGGCCCGGCAGGTCAAGGAGAAGGCCACAGGCATGGGATGACTTCCAAATTAATCAACATTTTAGCTTATTTTGGGCAAGATCCAAGGGAGTGAGAGTAGCGTAGGGTTTGGCTGGGTCTTACCACCCTCTCCCAGGTTCTCATTGATAAAGTTCTGCTGGCTTCCCAGGGCCAGGCCCATCCCCTGAGCCTGGTCTCTGCACCTTCGAGCCTTACAGTGAAGCCTGGACATGGCCATTCCACATGGGCCATCAGGGCCACCAGCTGAGATACCCCCATCCCTGCCACATCGGCCCGCGCATCCCCGCTCACCTGGGAAGAGCATGGTGGTGAGAAGCTCTGGAGCCTCCAGCAAGCTTATGATGGACCGTTGGAAGGTCCTGCTGTGGCTGGACTGCAAGTGGCTGCAAAGCATTGGGCAGAGTGAGAATGGTGCTGGGAGCTTCCACTCCATCACAGGGGGGCTGCAGGAGAGGAGCCTCGCGCAGGGGTCCCTGCCCATGCATGGGGAGCAGGGTTGCACCCGCACTGCCTGACGCAGTGCATCTGCCACTGCTCCATTGCCCCAACCCCTCTCCTGGGCCCAGCTGCCTCTGCCGCCAGGGTCAACAGGGGCACTGAGACAAGGAGGGCTCATGCTCTCTGAGACGGGAGCACTGGACAGATCAGTTGGACAGGCTCTAAGGAGGTGGCCACAAAGCATTTTAGCCCCCTCTGACCCAGGCTATCTGAGATCATCTAGACCCAAGTCCCCAGCAAACATACAAGGAAAGTCTCCAACCTTCTCCACGAAGACACATCTTGCCAGAACTCATAGAGGATGAAGCAGGCTTCGTCGGTCAGCTTGCAGGTGGACACACTGTGGGGACAGGAGAAGCCCTGAGACAGGGCCTGGTGAGCTGGGGTGAAAGGGGTGCCCAGCACAGCCATGCCAGGCTCTGCGCCCTCGGGAATGATGGGCACTGTGCTACCTGTAGGCCTCCTCAGCAGGAGGATTTCAAAGAGAAGCAGTGCCAGCAATGACTGCTAAGAATAGCACACTGCTCCAGATGACCATGAAGATGCCCCTAACGGCCCCTGAAGTAGATGCCAATTCCCAAATCACACTTCCCATCTTCCATTCTGCTGGAGCACCTGGAATAGGGCTGAGGTTTCTCCAGCCCACAGCATGGCAGAGGGACAAGCAGTGTGAGGGCAAGCAAGCAGGAGCATGAAGCTGCAGGGCTGGTTATTCCAGCTGGGGAAGAGCTTCCCCTAGCTGCTGCTCAGAGTGTTGTGCTGCCTGGAGGAGCCAAGTCCAGAATGAAAAAGCAACTTGTGCCCAAGCCAGCAGCAATACAGCTGTGGCCCCACACATGAGGGCCACAAGGGGCTTTGCAATTCCTGCCACGAACCAGGACAGCAGAGCCTCCGTGGGCTTTGCTCCGACTCACGTGGAAAGCCTGCTCATGCAAAACCACTGGCTGTCAAAATGGCTAGTTCTTCTGAGAGAAACTCCCTATAGTTCTGAAGGAAAAAAAAACACATTGTGTATTAAGACAAGCATTTTCTCCTTGAAACCCTCTGTGGGAGAAGGAAGGAGCTTCTCAAGGAGCAGCTGTGCAATTGCCAGGACACCCGGCTGTGGCGTGACACCAAAAGTCAAACCTGGGTCTCCGTCCTCAGTAGTTTGCTGTGAACTCTGGACTGGTGCTGGGTCCAGAGCCCTGGCCTTACATCACAGGTTAGTTTTTGGTGGACTTGGACACTTCCCAGCAGCACTGCACACATTTTAGTGAAAGGGAAACTGTGACATGAGCTCGTCCCCTTCCTCTCCAAGCCTTCAAAGCCAGAGCAACGAGCACACTCGCTTGCACGCACATGCCACATCCGTTTGTGGCGCTGTGGTTGGCACGGAAACTGGTCTCCTCCTTGCCAGGCACTAACAAGTGGTTCTTCTTGCTGGGGAACTGCAGCAGGAGGCAGGAGGGTCCCACTCAGCTGACATTGCCGCAGATCCAGCCTCAGTGGGCCAAGTCCAAGCTTGTGCCAGTGGCCCACAGGTGACCCAAGGGGCCACCCTGCCCACTCACCCCGGTTCATGCAGGAGAGAACCATGCTCAGAAGCCTTCCCCTCAGACCTGTCCCTCACTGTAAGCCCAGGACCCCATATGTCATGCAGGCATCTGTGCTGAGAGCTATGACTGTACCCCAAAGCAGGAACGCTGCCTGCTCAGCAAAGCTTTATCACGCATGTGGGGTGCAGCATCACAATCTGCAGGGACAAGGGTCCCCTGTTTGGCTATGTCACCAACAGCCCTGCTACCCAAGCACTTACTGCAGGCAGCTGCTCTGCCCAGCGGTGACCTCCGTGTAGGACCTGAATGCCTGGTGAAACTCCTTGACGCCGCTCTTCGCTACTGAGATCTGCCTCTTGGCCACAAGGATGTGCTGCAAGGGAACAGCGGCACAGGTGGTCAGGCACAGCCAGCTGCAAACACACCAGGGCTGCCCTGGCTCTCCTGCCCCCCGTTCTGTGTCAAGCAAGTGTTCCTGTGGCTGCAGGAACACTCCCCAGCTGAAAGGGTCACGTGGGCCTTGGGACTTTTCCTCTGGGATTTTGCATGGCCTAAGGAGGCTTGGAGCCAGTCTGGGACACGTGGGCACTCACATGCAGAAGCTCATCCCTAGCTGCTCATGGCCATGGGTACTGCCTGGGCTCTGCACAGACCTCAGGGTTTCTCTTTAGAAGGAACCACAGTCCTCTCAGCTCACAGCTCAGCCCAATCCCAGCCAGTGCCAGGGCGGTGAATCCATTCCCAGACCAACGCCAGAACCTATGCCAGGTGGCTCTGGCCTCAGGGCACTCAGGCCATGTTTGTGTGTGAGGGGATCTGTGAGCACTGCTGTGCGGCCTGCAATGGCAGGCTCAGGAGCAGGACTTACATCATCTCTGTCCTTGCTCAGTGCTTCTTCCTTCAGAGGCTCCAGGCGTGGGCTCTGCATTTCACATCAGCAGAAAAATCATTGTCACCACAAGAATTTTATCACAACACAAAACACAGTGATGATCAGGCTTGGCATAGCTTGGTGCACTGCTCCAGAGAGGTTGGCTCTGGTAGCCAGGGCAGGATGTGACCCATATCTGTGGAGCCAGATTGCCTTGTTGGATCAGCACAGGCCACTGAAGGAGAAACCAGCGAGAAGTTCTCAGAGCTGAGGGAGAAACAGCAGGTTCCCGGCAGGAACAGCAAGGGAGGAAGCACATTGCAATTCAGCACTGCTGGACCGCGGCAGCTCCAGAGAGGAGGAAGCCAGGACTAAAACACCAGGGTGCAGGCCTGATCAGAGCAAGGTGAGGAGCAGCCCCCGAGCCCACCTCCCTCCGTCACACACCTTGCACTCCAGTTTCTCAATAAGCTGTTGGAGCCGGTTAATCTGTGCCATCCACTGGTTGTTGTCTTCAATGCAAATGCCTGCACAGGAAGGACAGAGAGATGTCACCCCCAGGCAGTGGCATTCCAGCCTCACCGATGCTGCCCAGTTTGGTGCTCCATACTATTGCCAGCAGCAAGAGCAAAACCTGGCAGAAGCTCCATGTGGTTTTGCATGTAAGGGATCTGGGCACTCAGTGCTTCCATATAGGATACTCAGAGTGGGCAGAGGCGCTTGTGGCAGAATTATGAGGACATGTATGTCCAGGTAGATGTACAAAGGAGACAGGAATGATAACCAGGTGATAAGGAGATAGTCTCCCTATGGGATCCCGAGCCAGGCACTATTATCCCAGGACAGCAGGGATACTCGGCACCTCTAGCACCTCTAGTCGGCAGATCCCTGGAGCTCCTGCAGTCTTCTGGGGGACCCAAAAAAAGGTGACTAGGCCATACATGTCTGGCCATGTTGTGCACCCTATAGCTGGGGAGGAAATCCCGCTATCCTTCTATTTCCAGGGGTGCTGATTAATTAATTTGACTGAAAATGCCTGAGAAAATGGCAAAAGCTTCTAAACTGCTGATTTAAATGAAAAATCTGATTGTTTCATCTTACAACTTTTCCCCACTGCCCAAGAGATACAAAATCCTAGAGAAGTTCCATCCAACTCCTGTGTGGGATCATCCACATTCTGTCCTGGACAAGATCCCACTGTGCTGTGTCCCAGAGTGGGTACAGAAACACAGACCCCAGGCACAGACCTAAGGATGGCAGAGCTATGGGGATGGCTCCTTGCCTGCCTGCAGGTACCTGTTGTCAGCACGCCGGAATAGGGGTCCACTGGGGACAGACAGATGTTTTTCTGTCCTCTGCGCCCACATCGTCTTCCTGACCGCAGGCCAGTCAAGATGTCCGATCTATTTACGTCCTTCCTGAAAGAATAAAACTCAAAGAGGAGTTGGAGGAAGCTGTTGTATGGCAGACAATGCACTGCCTGTCACGTCCCGCTGTGTGTCCCACCGTGCATCTGTTACCTCTCTCGTCCTGCCTGCTCCTCCATGATGTCCACGGCACACTCAAGCGAGGTCTGCAATGACTGCAGCTGGGACACGGTTTCTCGCAGCAGGAAGCGGGTCAGGAACTGCTCCATCTTGGAGGAGGTCTCATACCGCTGCAAGGAAGGGGAACAGCACTGTCGGATGTCCCCAAGGCACAGAGCACAGCTCTGTGCAAGGGAGACAGGGATTCCCAGCACAGGGTGGGCATTCCATCATTGAAACTCCAATCTCTGCTGCATGACTGGTATGGAAACCAGACCACAAGCTATATCTGCTGGTTCTGCCCTCCTGGCAGCCACTTGCCTCCAAGGAGGACAGTGTGCCCACACAGGTAACAAGCAACAAGTCTGCTGGCTAAGCGCCATGTGCTCCATGGGGAGGTGTATGAGCAGCCGGCTTGATGCTTTCAACATTGCAAAATGCCGTCCTGGAATTTAACAGCACCATTATGCTGCTTCCTATGACCAGACCAGCTGACCTATATCTGACTATAGCTGCCAGTGTTTATATACTGCCAGGTATCATCTCCTACCTCAAAGACTCCCAGGCCTGCATGTATTGAAGGACTTGGGTGCCTGACACACATGGAGCTCCCAAGCTGCAGAATGTGTGGAGCCTTCCCATGCTGTTTCTCCCGCCACATCTGCAGGCACCTTTCCCAGTCAGAACAGAGCTCCACAAAGGCACTGCCTGATGCCCCAGGACCTGGTGGGACTGGAAGGTACATTGCGCTCTCCCAGCCACTAGGTCCTGGTCAGATGTGGGGAGGTACAAGCACAGTGTCCATGACAGGGCTGACCAGCAAACCCAGTCTTGGCACAGTCTGGCCCCCGGGAGGTATCACAGCACTTGCAGATGCAGACAGTGATTAATTAGCGACACGACCACGCTTGCCAAAACTGGCTGCAACAGCTTCCCTTTTGCGCCACTTATCCCTATAAACATGCATCTGCTCTTCCTCTTCCGGAGTCCTCCACACTCATGTCTCCTCCTGGCTTTCCTCCTGGCTCTGTGGCACCGTCCTCCAGGGACACACTGAAATAAAGTGATTGCCAGTGGCAGCGGCGCGGCTAAGCAGGGTCTGATCTGGTGTCAGCCAGCAACTGAGCAATGGGAGAAGGCCTGAGGCCTCTCAAGCCATGGGGCAGTAACCTGGTTATGAGGAAACGCTGCGAGGGGTGGATGTCAGCCTGAGCCCTATCAGGACACAGTTCATTTTTAGGTGAACTGTCGAGGAACACTAACACTGTGCCTCTGATTGATACAGTAACTGTCCTCTGCACCCACGCTGCCTTCCTGACCGGCCCGTCAAGGTCAGGCAGGCCAGGCTACGAGACAGTGCAACAGTTACGTGGGCTGTTCTTAAGGCAAATTGAGGAGAACATCTGGTGTTAGCTGCACTGAGAGTTATCCTAGCATGTCCTTGTCTGATTTTTCTGATCACAGATCCATGGTAAGATCCAAAATCAAGGAGCTGTGCCAGGAGCTGTTTTAAACCTATCATCTGCTGCCTTCCCTTCTCTCCAATATGATTTGACAATTTCTGAAATACCTTGGAAAAGTTTAGCCTGAAGAGATACCACCTCCCTTTGCACAAGCACAGGCTCTGGGGAAACACACTGGGGCACCCACTCACATGCCAGAATCCATCTGTCTGGGTCAGATACTTGGCACCCTCCTGCCTTCAATGCTCTGCTACATAAACCAGGGCTCTTGTATGGTATATTGTGCTGTAATTTGGAGAAGAGTTGAGTTTGGAAAGTTTATTCCCCACCACTTGCTGTTTTCTTACGATACAAAACAAATCAACCCCCCAAAAAAATTATGGCCTCACATGGGTGCAGAGAGTTGTCTTTTTACTGGTATGGACCCTAACAAGCTTCCTTTTCTAAACAGCACTAAGACATAGTTGTATTTGGACAGTATCCCTTTCGAGCCTGGCCGAGTGCTACAGGAAAGGACATCAAGGATTCCTTAGTGTGTTGCTCTCTCCTAAGCCCAATCCAGAACAGGGTCCCAGGTTGGCACGGGGAAGACCTGGGCACATAAAACCCAAGTCTTCCCAACAGAGTTACTAAGGATCCCAGGACTAATTTGCAAGAGCTGGATGCTTATTCATATTATGCCAGTTCACTGCCCATGGTTCTGCTCTCTTCACGTGCAACTCTTAATCTGAGCCTTGCCTTTAGTTTCCACCTCTCACCCTCACCCACCCCTGCACGGTTTGATGCCCCCACACACGGCACAGATGCATTTTCAACACAGGTGATGGCAGTGTGGCAGGGAGAAGAGCACATCTTGGCCCAGAGGCCCTTCCGTGCTCCCACACACTGTGGGAGCACTGTGGTTGCCAGAAATTATTCTGTGGGTTTTTATTAATTTTCCTCTGGTGCAGTAGGTTGCCTGGCAAGAATGTCCTGCCAAGTTCCACGTCGTCCTTCCCCTCATTGCCAGCTCCTCTCTGTGGCAAGCACAGGAGAAGGCAGCCCCAGGACCCCCTTGGCCATTGTAAGGTCACGTCCCTGTTCCATGAGCATCACAAATGCTCCTCAGTGTTCACTGTCAGACCTGGCTTTACCAGCTGCAGCAGAAGGACAAGCAGCAGATCAACTCCTGCAAAGACCTTGGCCAAGCTACAGTATGGGAAACAGCAGTTCCAGAAATGAAGTCAAACAAAAGAAACAAGAAAATCACCTAGATCAAGGCAATGGAAAGGAGAAAGGAAGACCCACGGTAACTTCCTTCCCTGTACACCCTGACAGCTTGCTTGGTCCTCTCACATGCACCTGATGAGGGCTCCAGGAATCCTCACTGGGGTTGCATTAGCCCAGAAAAAAACAAAACAAGAGGGGCAAATATACTAATAGCTTTCCAAGGTGCTAACTTGTTCTCGCAAGCAAAGGCCTAAAGTGATCTTGGTGGACAGAGGGCCTAAGCTTAAACTGCAGCAGTGAAGGACTTGAGAGATGATGGGAAACGCCCTCCAATGTAGGGAGAGGGAAGCACCAGGCTTGATGGCCTGAAGCGCCATGGGCTGTGTTGGAGTATCTGGGAAACAGGTCACACAACCTTTCAAGAATGATCCAGTCAGAGTTACTTTGTCTCTGAGAAGGGTATCATCTGCACTGTAGGTCTCTTCCAAGTGTATTCCTACCATTCTATGTCCATCCATAACCTCACTCGGATTTCACTGTCAAACCTCATACACAGGTACATGCCATCCTTACATTAGTGTGTGGCAGCTTTCCGTCTGGTGGCTCTTGGTGGCTTTCCCCATGGAAGGTTGATGGCTGCTGGATGTGTATGTGCATGGGACACTTGAGGATCCTCTTCTAGCCATCAGCTCTCTGTATGGGAATGTTGTTCCATTGTGGGCATTTGGCAATAGGGAAAAAAAGGAGTCTTGGAGCTCTAGTATTGTTCTCTATGCCATATAATGCAAGCAATCAAATTAAAAAATGGTGTATTTTTGATCAATAATCCTAGTACAATTACACCAAGAGCATTCCACCCTGAGGCTGTTTCTTGTTCACTCCCATGTGACCAGAATGAAAAGGGTCACACAAAACTTTTAGAAGGATCTCAAGAGACCACAATCTACCCAGAAGAGCAGGAGATGCTTCTGGCGACACTCCAGAGCAGAGCATCCTGTAGGGAGTGCAGATCCCACCAGTAACTTGTCTTGCAGAGCAGACAGGCTGGGCTGGGACCAGGAGAGGGACTTTCCACACAGCCTGAGCAAGTTGGAGCTGTGAGATTTGACTGTCCTTATTTTGATTCCCAGATGAAAAAGACATTGCAGTCTCAATTCAGGAACCACTCTCTCAGGACCAATAACCTTGCTTGGATTGCCGTACCTCCCAGATGCAAAGTGAAGATCCTGCGCAGGCCAGGGCTGTGCTACCTTGAAGGCAAAATATCCCCATCCACATCCTCACGCCCTTCAGCAGAGCGTGGAGCTGGTGATTCTGAAACCCAGATGAGGATTGATGGCCATATGCTGCCTTGGAGGTCTTCTGGTCTGTATTCAGGTCTTCTGGTGAGGCCAGAAAACATGGAAGAACGGGATTCCTGGGTTCTAAATAAGCGTGAAGCTCTGGTACACTGTTCATGCTGTGGCTGTCTCTGGGTAGCTAAGCTGTGAGGCACCTTTGTGCCCACAGAAGCTACATGGCTTCCTCAGAGAATAAAGCAATAAAAGCACATCATAGAGTTGTTTGTGTCTGATGGAGTGAGGACAGAAAGACAGAAGTAACCCTTGCTGTAGTGTGTGCAGATCTCTGATGCACATCTGTCCCCCAGGAAACATTTAGGGTAGACACGCAGGGGAGGGAATTGTGGCAGTTGTGGCCCTGAACCATGAATCCTGCTGATATGGCCAGGGACAACTCCCAGCTCTTGCATGGAGATTTGGACAGGGGCCCAAAGGGCTGGATAGGTGGCTGTGGGAGTTCTGGCATTGTGAACACAAGGTTAGGAAGCACGGGAGACTGTCACAACACACCACAGGAAAACTGAGGCTGGGATTTAGCTGGGAATGTGGTTCAACATCCAAGGCATGGGAAGCCCTCAGCTTGGCCAAGGCTAATGTGACAGCTGTCCTAAGTCTCGTAACAGCCTCCATCTTTCTCACCACATAGTGTTTGCTTTCAGAGAATAGAGGAACTAGAAGGAACTGCAGGCCAGGACTGTGTCTGAGCAGGAGTATTTCCCAGGCAGTTAACTCTCCCCTGGCCAAATCCCACAGGTCTTCTTACTCCAGGCTGGACTCCTACTGCAGTGGTGCCTAGTACACAGGTCCAAGTAGTGTCTGGGTAAATGAAGCAGACTTAGTCTCTCTTCTTTGCCGCTCCCAGCAGAGTTTATTTTAGATATAATTCCATTAATGGCATCCTTGGAGAAGAAAAAAAAAAATCTTCCTTTTGCTGCAAATGCACCTTCATGTGTGAGGTCACAGCAGGGAGTGTGCACCAGAACCAGCCTCAGAACCTCTACCCTGACCCGATAGGCCCCACCCAGGCCCGGGACCCAGTTCCACAGGCATCCAGGAGGCACAGAGCAGAAGATGGACATCCACGGACTCCCAGGGCTGCTCCTGCTCAGGAAGGGTGTC